TGCCCATCGTAAATCTAGGAAGCCTCGCCTGCGAAATGCCTTATTTCGTTGCTTCCTGGGACCCACGATAGTCAACGGCCTCATATGCCTTCTCTATATCATCATGAAGTAAGAGAGTGCTTTAGCATTATAGAACGTAATAAAAACAATGATAAAAATAAAATATGTTTGTAGAACGCTGATACCAGCCTTACTAGCACAGCTGCTGCTGCAGTTCCAGCATCAAGCTAATCCCGTGTCGACAATGGGGGCAGGCGAACACCAAAACCTTATGCCTAATCGCACAGTGCGGGCTGTGGCAACGCCGGGGCTAACCTCAGATGATGGAACGAGTAAGTAGAGTCCACAAATATATGATTTCTATCGCCTAAATTGATTTCATCTATGTTTACAGTCCATTCGCCAAATGCATTGGACAGCGATGATCCAGTCAAGCAGCTCGTGAAGAGTGACTACGAAGATTCCGGATACAATGCGAGCCAAATGAATGCTTTTGAGGAGGGTTTTCATTATATCTGGAATGATGTTTACAGTCTTGGCGCGGTCTTGGTCACTTCAACCTTGATTTGTTGTTTTATGGTGCATCACGTTGACCTGCGCCAACGTCTGATGGGCGCTCGAATGCGCATAGCCTGTTGCTCTTTGATCTACCGAAAGACTTTGCGGCTGTCTATGAAGACGGCGGGCCAGACACCAGCTGGTTATCTGATCAATCTACTCTCAAATGATGTCAACCGCCTGGATTACGGCTTCATATTTATGCATTGGATCTGGATTATGCCACTCCAGGCGGTGCTTACCTGCTATTTAATATGGCTGCGTATTGGTATCCCGGCCTTAGTGGGCGTCATTGGATTACTGCTGAAGACGGTGCCCATACAGTCGGCACTTAGTAAGCTAACCTCGGTGCTTCGCATGCGTATAGCTGAGCGTACGGATGCGCGCGTTGGAATCATGAACGAACTAGTGCAGGGCATTCAGGTCATCAAGATGTACGCTTGGGAAAAGCCTTTTGAGGCGGTGGTCGCCGAGGCCAGACGCCGCGAGATAAAACAGATTCGTTACGCTTCGTACCTGCGTGGATTTTACCTCAGCACTATGGTCTTCACAGAGCGTTCCACTTTGTATATCACCCTGGTCGCAGCTGCTCTCATGGGACATACAATTACAGCTGATTTCGTATTTTCGGCCGCAAGCTATTATAACATCCTACAGTTGGTGGCGGCCATTTGGTATCCTTTGGCTGTAACCTTTGGAGCCGAAGCATTGGTTTCTTTGCGTCGCATTCAGGACTTTCTTCAGTTGGAGGGTCGCGATGAGATTGTCAACGGACTGACGCACAAACGACAGCAGGACATCGGCGAGACACGTGCAATAGTCCTAAAGGACGTCAGTGCCAACTGGGACAAGGAGCGACCCCAACGCACGCTTCAGGACTTTAATCTACAGATAGAAAAGGGTCAGCTCTGTGCGGTCATTGGTCCGGTTGGAGCTGGAAAGAGTTCGCTGCTGCAGCTGCTACTTGGTGAGCTGCCCATAGTCGATGGCGGTGTTATTATACAAGGTGAGCTCTCGTATGCCTCACAGGAGCCGTGGCTTTTTACCGGCACCGTCCGGAATAATATTCTATGTGGCGAGCAGTATGAGCGCAAGCGATATCAGGATGTAACGAGATGCTGCGCCCTGACCACAGATTTTCAGCAACTCAGCAATGGCGACAAGACCATCGTTGGAGAGCGCGGAGCTTCACTATCTGGAGGTCAACGGGCTCGTATTAGCTTGGCGCGAGCCGTCTACAAACCAGCATCAATTTATCTCCTGGATGATCCCTTGAGCGCGGTTGATGCTCACGTTGGACGACATCTGTTCGACGAAGTGATTGGACCACGTGGCAGACTGGCTCAGCAGAAGGCGACTCGGGTACTCGTCACCCATCAGGTGCACTTTCTCTCAGAAGCCGATTGGATTATCATTGTGGATCAGGGTCGCATTCTGAGACAGGGAACTTATGCGGAGCTGATCAACAGTGACCTAGACTTTGCCAAGTTACTAGAGCGTCCAAAAGAAGCGGATGATTCTGGTAACAACTTGGACTCATCGTTAAGTTTAAATGGGCAGGAAAATATAGAGGAAGACGATGATATACCCTATATCGATGGTGTTCGGGATGGCTACCATCCATTGCGGAAACAAAGCAGCTCCACACATGGCAGCAAATCGGTGAGTGGGCATCAGTAAAATACTAATTTATTTAATAGCAATTATGAATAACAATTACAGCTGAACAGCAGTGACCAAACGGAAGCCGATCTAGATGATGATGAACTGGCCGAGACTCAGGGCTCGGGCAGCATCTCCCCGCGTGTTTGGTACGAATACTTCCATGCGGGCAGCACGTGCTTGGGCTTTAGCTTCATGGTGTGCGTCATGCTGATGTCGCAGGTGGTGTGCAGCTGCTCCGATTTCTTTGCAAATATCTGGACGCAAGAAGAGCATCGGCGATCCCAAGGCGAAGCCACCAGCGTTAGCACTTTTGAGTGCATTTATATTTATGGTGCTCTCATCATTGGCGTCGTGATTATGACAACGTTTCGCGGATTTTTGTTCTTCAAGACCTGCATGCATGCGTCCAAGGTGCTACACGACCGCATGTTCACCTCGATACTGCACGCAACCATGAGATTCTTCGACACTAATCCCTCTGGTCGTATACTGAATCGGTTCTCCAAAGATATGGGAGCTATTGATGAGCTTCTGCCGCGTGCCATGATGGATTGTATACAGATTGCTCTGGTCATGTTTGGCATATTAATTGTGATCGCTGTGGTGAATCCTGTACTATTGGCTGCAATGCTAGTTGTGGCTATTATAGATATGCTCATATTAAAGCTCTACCTGCGCCCCTCCCAAGATCTAAAGCGCCTAGAAGGCATTTGCCGCAGTCCAGTATTCTCCCACCTGAGCTCGACTTTGACGGGTCTTTCGATCATACGTTCACGTCAGCTACAGGATGTTGTCGCCAAGGAATTCGATCTATTGCAAGATGTGCACAGCAGCGTCTGGCAGCTGACCATGGCGGTCAATACGGCATTGGGGCTGTGGTTGGACTGCGTCAGTTGCGCGTTCCTCACGGCGGTCACTTTCAGTTTTATAATCGCCAACGAATGTGAGTTTAGTAACTTTAAAGCATTCGCAACCGATTTAACAACTAATCTTAATAATCATTTACAGCTACTTATAGCGGCAATGTGGGCCTGGCCATATCACAGGCTATGATTCTAACTGGCATGGTGCAGTATGGTGTCCGTCAGGTGGCAGAGTCACTGCAACAGATGACCAGTGTGGAGCGTGTGCTGCAGTACACGGAGCTGGAACAGGAGGAGACGACAAAGGGTGTGGAGCCCTCTCAGCAATGGCCCACATTGGGGCAGGTGGAATTCCGTGACATGAGTTGCCGCTACGATCCCAATGGCTCGGCTGTGCTCAAGCATCTCAACCTAATCATTGAACCAGGCTGGAAGGTGGGAATTGTGGGTCGCACGGGAGCAGGAAAGTCCTCGCTTATTGGCGCACTCTTCCGTCTGGCATACATTGAGGGCGGCATCTACATAGATGACATCGAGACGGGCAGCATCTCGCTGGAGACACTGCGTGCCCGCATTTCCATTATACCACAAGATCCTGTGCTCTTCTCAGCCACCATCCGTTATAACTTGGATCCCTTTGAGCGCTACAGTGATGCAGAGTTGTGGCGCGCTCTCGAAGATGTCGAACTGCGAGCTGCGATTCCCGGTCTCGACTTTCTGGTCACCGAACGTGGCAGCAATTTCAGTGTGGGTCAACGACAGCTCCTTTGCTTGGCACGTGCGATCCTGCGCAACAACAAGGTGCTAGTGCTGGACGAAGCAACTGCCAATGTAGATCCACAGTGAGTTGATAATTAAGCTACTCTTGAATGACTTATCAAACAGAAATATTTATATTTACAGAACGGATTCACTGATCCAGCGGACAATACGTGTCAAGTTCCAGCACTGTACAGTATTGACTGTAGCACACAGACTGCATACAGTCATGGACTCGGATCGTATTATTGTGATGGATGCTGGCAGCGCAGTGGAATTCGATGTACCACATCTGCTGTTGAAGAAGCCACACGGAATACTCAGACAAATGGTCGAGGCCACCGGAGGAGAGGCCGACACGCTTAAGAGTGTGGCCTACAACTCGTTCAAGCGTATGCAGCAGGAGCGTGAAGAAGAGAGAGAGAGATCAAGCGAGGAGCATGATAATTAAGCTCGCATTTAACTCCAGACTTGGCGCTTAACTTAAGTTACTTAAACAGAATCAAGACTTGGACAATCAGTACAGTTCCAGTTAACACGTTCGCTGTAATGTGAATAATAATCATTATCATAATCTTTTTAAATTCAACATTCTACTTTAACTTGTTAAATATGTCCATTCTTTAGTTAGATGCATAAGGTCTACTCAAATGCAAAATGATCTAAAGTTAGTTCATGTTTTCCCAGCGTCCATTTGTACTTGATTCATATTATTTGTGTTTGTTTTTATATCATCAGTAAATTTTCTACGTACGGGTTATTACTTAAGCAAAATTTAAGTACACTGCCTTAAAGTTTAGTTGAACGAATGCATTGTACTTAGCAATATCTAAATGTAAGCATAAAATGCATTCAAGGGCTAAGTGAAAAATTCCTATTTCATACTAATCTTATACAATGATGAAAGGAGGAACCGGTTATTGGTTTGGATATATATCTTTGGCAACGTTTACCTTTTGATAGTCCAGATATTTTTTGTAAATGAAGAATTTTTCACTTAACCTAATTTAGGTGTTAATAAGACAATTAGGAATGATTATAATATGTAATAATTATAAACCATTGATATATATATAACTCAAGGTTGGATATAATCTGATCAATAAAGAGCAAACAGTTGCAATGTGAAATCTTATACTTGAAACATAAGTTAAGAACGGTGGAAATTAATAAATTTATTAAAATATATATAAATAATTCTCATAATGATTGCGTTTTGACGATTATAGCAGGTTGAATGTCACAGTAAGGATGATAAACAATGAGCAACAACACATACAAGTAAAATGGAATTACATGGAAAACTTGGTAAAGCTATACATCATTTTCTCGATAGTCGATCTGCAGTCTTCGAGCTACGTCCTGCTGACGATTTCGCCGCAGAAGTGGTTTGCTGCTCGTAAGGCACTGGCGGTGTGCCATCGGCGTAGTTGACCGCGGAGATGCGACTCTCAACTGAGAATAGTTGGGTGTCTACGCTGTGCACCGAGCCCGTTTTGTCCTGCGTGGTGTGAAACGAGCCAACGGGTGTCGAAGTCTTTTGTCTATCGTTGGTGCCATTGGTGGCATGTCCGAGCGCTGGAGAGTTTGCTGAACTTGGAGACAGAGAATCAATCACAGATTGCAGAAAGTTGCTTTTTATCGATTCGTCGGTGCTCTCGGAGTTGCTGCCTCTACCGATCACACGGTGTTTCAGCAGCTCTTTGGTAAGAAATTCACGCAAATTAAGTGACCGCCCCATCTGACTAACATCTTGCGGTGCGTCCATAGCAGAGTCTCTGAATGAAGGTTGTTCTACAGTGCCGCCACAAAATCGTTGATGGAGCCCTGATGAAGCACTGCCGGCGCTAGTGTTCATTGGCTCAGCAGGTTGCGGCTGCTCCCTCTGATTGAGAGTGAGCGCAGCCATGCGCTCTATATCCACCTGCACTTCGATAGTCAACGGCGACCTGGACAATGGTGCTATGCCACTTTCATTGGGCGAACATGAAGTGACATCCGGAGGTGCGCTATCGCGACGTGTGCTGCTGGCTATTTCCTGGTCAGGCATCTCGCACGGTCGTGTATCCCGTTTAAAAGATGACCTGAGTATGCGCCTCTGGCGCAGCTCTGCCTCAACATTCAAGGAATCGCTGCTGTCCAGGCTGGCGCTGTCAATCAGCTCCCGTTGCTCGGGGGGCTCCCTCTCCAGCAGCTGTTGTATGTAGTCGCGTCTGTTAGGAAATTCACGTATACTGATATTCTGTACGCGTAGGCGCTGCAGGACCTCATCGGCTTGCAAGGATTGGTGATCCTTCGTGCTGTCCATATGGGTCGCTGTTGCGGTAATGTTATGTAAGTAAGCACTGATACTGGGAAACTCGCGATAGTCAACATCATGGCCTCGTTTCTTGATGGTTTGAATGAGCTCTTCAAATTCGTGCTGCAGCCGACTGGTTTGATTCGTATCCATGTGCAACAGGTCAAGCTGTAGCTCCCGTGCATACTGGTAGAAACTGGGAAACGAAACTGCTGTCGGAGCTGCAGGCACAATATGCGACTGCGCTGGCGTATCCACCTCGGTAATGGTGGATAGCTCGTGCGCCAGTTCCTCTGCGGTCAACTGTGGGCTATAGCGACGTATTGTGGCTGGGGGCCCCTTGCAGCGACGCGCTCCACTGCTCGGTGTGGAGGGGGGCAACGACTGTGGCTCGGGCTCTTGGAGATCTACCTGGCCTAGTGCTGTTAGCGGTCGTGAAATAGATATACCGCTATCCAAACTGGCACCCGTTGGCTTGTTCTTCTGCAACGGCAGAGCTTCAGACTGGGATGTCGTCGTATTATGGCTGTCACTGCGCTCTGATGCGGAGCGAGAGCGTTGCTGCCCTGGCAACGGCGGCAAATCGTAATACTCTGTGGAGTGGCGATCCCCTTCACTGGCCGAAGTTAGTGTGACTTCGACCAGTCGCTGCTTTTCCTCTCGCACCTTGGTTATTAGTTCCGTTAGCTCTGCAATACGCTGTGTGCAGTTCTCCGTGAGTTTGGCATATCGTTCGATCTGCTGTACTGAACATTTTTCCGTGGTCGGAGACTTGCTCTTGGTTCCCTCCGCGGCTTGGTTTCTCTGCGCAGTCGTAGTCGTAGCTACTTGATTCTGTGTCGACTGACGAGATGCCATATCCGCTTCTGCTACCGCACGGTTAGTGGTAGTCGGTCTCTCAAATTGTTGTTGTCGCTGCTGCCGGTGCTGCTGCTGTGATTGCTGCGGCTGCTGTGACTGCTGCGGCTGCTGTGATTGCTGCCGCTGTTGTAATTGCTGCGGCTGTCTCTGCTGTGGTTGGTTCGGCCGCGGCTGCTGCAGCTGCTGAGTCTGCGCCTGCTGCTGCCTCTGCTGCAGCTGACTCTGCTGCTGAGTCTGCTGCTGCCTCTGTTGCTGCCTTTGCTGCTGCTGCTGTTGCAGCCTTTGATCCAGTTGCTGCCGACCCTGCTGCTGCTGCCTTTGCTGTTGCTGCGGCTGATACTGTTGCCTGGACAAGAGTGTATTCCATTTCTGATGATCGTCATCCATGTTGCGTTCCCTATCTATTTGCTCTCCCTGTTCCTGTCCTGTTCTGTCTTGATCTTTGTGTTGACTGCGCAACGTGTCCTCAAGCTCAGATACAAAACAACGATTTTCTTGGATAAAGGCTTGCACACGCTCCATACGCTGATTATCAAGTAAGGTGTCATTCCCTAAGGAATCAAGTGGCAGATTGCTAGGATTATTGATGATCGATTCCGTTGGGGTTGCCACTTCAGAGCCGGAGGCGCCTAACTGATCTATGGAGGCGCGCGACATGCTTAGCAAGCGATCCACATAACGAACGAGCATTGGATGCAGAGGCTCAGCAGCGGGTTGACCAGGCAGCGTAGCGCTGACTGCCTCTACAGGATTTGTGTTTTTATAGCTGACTGGCGGCAATTCACGATACGACGTTGAATTGGAATCTATTGAGTTCTGTCGATGGACTTGAGCAGTTGTAACTATGGGTGATTTGTCACTGGGCTGGGAGGATGAAGATGTGGTTGGTTTCGACTTGCTCTGCAGTTTGCCCATAGATTTATGTTTGGGAATACACTGCTTAACACTACCGTCGCTCGTCACCTTGATTATGATCTCGACAGGGCCATCATCCTTTTTCTTGCGCTCCTTCTGACCATCGCTTTGCTTCTGCCGCTTGTATAGCACGCGTATGCGTTGCTCCAACAACTCCTCCTTCTGCCGCAATTCCATCTCTCGCTGGCTTATATTGCTTGCACTGCCCGTGAATATATTGGCGCGCTCTTTGCGTATCGAGTCGATCACTTTCTGGGCATTATCGTCCGTCATATCTCCCGCCTGCAACTCGGCCAGCAGTTGTGTGCGAATTTTTTCGATGCGCTGCAGCAAACTCCTTAGCTTCATTGACTTGGACGAACTGCTCTGCATTCCCTTGAGCTCTGTACGCAGCTGCTTACTCTGATCATCAACGTACTCTAGCAATATAGAACAGCAGCTGGCCGTGCTAACAGCATCATCTATCTTGCTCGGTGGGTCACCCACATTGATTGCCTCCGGTACGCTCGCTTTGCCACGGACGCTTCCTTTGCGAGGTGAAACATGCTTGGTTACGCCCACTTCCGGGCAGGTAACGATGGCCGGACGCAAGAGCATCTCCTCCATAGCTGCATTCATTTTCTGTTCACGTCGCAATGCTAGATCCGCGTAGCGGTGACTCGGCACGAAATTTGCCTGTTCGGAAAAGGATTTAAAATTGATTAAGTGAACAAGGTAAGAAAAGTATATAGCTAACATCACTCGGCAGCAGTTGTGGCTGCTGCTGTGCTAATGCCTCCAATTTCTGCTCCAGTTCGGCGCAATCGCGACGCACCTGCTCGCGTTGCAGTGCCTTCTGACCACGTTCATCGGTGACTTGGCTACAAGAAATCATATTAAATTCCACTGTTTGATAATTATTAATAGCAATTTAGCAGTACCGTAGATTATTCAGTTCCAGTTCGCGTAGCTGCCGCAGCTGATTCTCAATGCGTGCATTTTCCATGGCATTCATATTTGTGCAATCGTGCTGATTCACTTGCACGCTTTTCTCGGGCGCCTTATAGTTGCGACGATACTTGTTATTGTGATCATAGAACTGGACGTGCCCAAGGTTATTGGCTGCACCAACCAGTCCTTTAGAGGTACCTGCCGATTTATTGGTCATCGTGTTAGAAGGAGCACCAGATGCACTAGATGCCGAAGTTGGAACTGGCTGGGTTTTTCCGGGACACTGGCCCATGGTTGGCATCGTAGGATAAGGTGGCATAGGATAGGGTACCATATTATAGGGTGGCATCATCTGTGGTACGTACATTGGATGCGGAGGAATGTAAGGTGGCAGTGGGTGCACACTTATGTGTTGCACCTGCAGCGGATCGACTGGTGGCTGCTGCATGTGAAACAGTTGTACGGGTGGTTGTTGCATGGGATTCGTACGGGCTTGCTGTTCGGCCGCTGCTTCCTTCTCCGGATTTTCCGTGCCAGCAGCATTGGCTGGTGTTACACTGGCTGGTTTCACCGGTGCTGCGCTGCGTCCCAATCCTGCATCTATTACCTTAACCGGAGGAACGGGCGGCTTATTGGTTCGCAACGAGGAACGTTTTGGAATTTGCTGATGATTGTCTGGTGGTAACATCTTAGATTTTTGATTAGGCTCCTTTGCTGTTCGAGTAGGCGAAACATTGGATGAACCAGCTTGAGAAGTTTCTTTTGTTGGCTTTCTAGGGGACCGTGACGACGATCTCGTCGGACTTTTTGTGCGGTCTTCTCCCTCTTCAGCTGCTTGTTTCTGTGCGCCCTCCAAGTTTGTACTTGTACGCCTCACCAAGTCGCTGATTTGAGTGAAACGTGGTCGACCAGGCACAGCAGCAGCGGTCGATGCTGGTGGTGGCTGCAGTCCTGACGATTTGACAGGAGTGGGACGAACGACGCGACTAAATTTGCGATTGCTCTGCATGTGTCGATCGTTAATTTCAATCCCATTGCGTGTGCAGATTTCCAGTGAGTCCTCACTTTCGGCATCCACATCTAAAATAACTGGAGGCGTCTGTTGAAGCTGAGTTGACCCACTGCTCGCATCATTGGCAGCTGGTTGCGATCCGTCATCGTCGCTGCTGTTGCTATCCGATGTTATTTCGAATATTTCTTCCTCCTCGTTGCTCTCATTGCGATCGTTAGTTGATGAACGTCTTTTATCATGACTGCATTTACACGAATGATGTCTTTTCCCTCCTTTGCAGGCATGATTATTGCACAATCTGTTCTCTTTGCCGCCGGTTTCTCTCTGTCTGTCTACTTGTACTGGTGTTTGTGTGCCTGCAGTGGCGCGACCCGCCACATTAAGGCCCCGTGTTGCTGTCGAGCGCAGAACATTTGCTGGTTTGTGCTGTGTTGCACGTTTCGCTGCGAGTTGGCGACATTGTTGTATCTTCTCGGCTCGCAGCTGCTTTTGCTTTTCGGCGTTTTCGGTTTCAACCTGGGCGGCTCGATGGGCGGCCCCTACCTGAAACATGGAAGTACGGTAGTCCTGACATTTTTTGGCCACAACATGCTCCCGCCATGTATCTAACTCTTGCTGTTTCACTTGTTCCAGGGCTCTTAATTGACGCGTTTGTTCCGTGGCCACTTCTTGGCGTATGTGGCGAGCCAAAGTGTTGGATTTCTCGCGTACCTTTCGATTTCGTAATATTATAGTGTAAATACAAAGAAGAAACGTAACTGCGTCTTACCTGTTGTAAACGAGTTATGCGACGCTCGTTTTCGAGATCTTTTTTAACGCGTTCGGGGTCAGCAAATCTATACCGTTGCTTACAATTTGTATCAAGTTTACCGCTTACTGTCATCTGCATAGTCATTGTCAAATAAAATTTCTACTAAATACTTGAAACATTTACTAACACTTAACAAAAACACTTTTTGACTATAAAATCAAAAGTCAACGTACAAAATTCCACAAGCGAACAAACAGAAGCGCAAGCGCAGATACAGTGATGTATTTGTGACCCTATCGATAGTGCAGCCATAAATATATCGACGCATCATCGATAAATTAAAGAAAACCCAGCTGTTGTCACTTTTGTTTTGGTTACGAGATTGTAGACATTTAAATTGATTTATATTTGGGAATCGCATTACTAAAATGGCTTTCCTGTTGCGTCAGGTAGCGAAACCTGTTCTGCTAAGGTAGAAATAGTGATCAGGAAACTATAAGACAATAATTAGTTAATGGATTTAATTCCAGAACTCTACTTAATGGGAGTCCAACTTCAATGCGCCTAGCCGCTAAAGACGTAACTGCAAGTGCTCCTGCAACAAATACAACTCCACAACAACAGTTGTTGGTGAGCGAAAATTGCTTGAAACGTTTGCGTGAGATCTGTACCGATGGCAGCTTTTTGCGCATCACAGTTGAGGGCGGAGGCTGCTCTGGATTCCAGTACAAATTTGATTTGGACAGCAAGCTAAACGAAGATGATTTACAGTTTGGCGAGGACAAAGCTAAAGTGGTAATTGACACAGTGTCCCTGGACTATTGTACAGGCGCTACTGTTGATTATCATAGCGAGCTAATTCGAGCTGGATTTAGGATGATTGCCAATCCGCTCGCAGAACAAGGCTGCTCATGTGGTTCATCGTTCTCGATTAAATTGTAGTTAATAGTTAAATAATGTACAATGATTGTTAAACTTTAGTGAAATATTTAAACACACAGATATAAATTTATTTAATCAGCTATATACACACTGCATCGATTGTAAATTTAAAAAAATATGGTATTGTTGCCCCATAGCAGTTAGTTGGTTTTTGGGTATTTGGCTTACGTATTAGGTAAGTCGTCGACCTATCGAAATGAATTGCTTTTTAAAGGCTTTCTCTTAATGTCAAGTTCTGCTTATCAGCTCCATCTCTGTTAATTCCAGATTGCATGACAGGTTCGTTTATGCAATAACCAATCAGCTTACAAACAGGGCAGAGCTTAGAACGCAGCCGGTATCTAGGCATTTGGACAGTGGCCGGGCCCTTTTATATAATTTACATGTAATATAAAGCAAAGCGACAGGCCGAAATTTATTTGCACGCAGCCAACTGTTCGCTTAAGCTTATCACTTGCTCTGTCAGTACGCTGATCTGCTCCTCGTAGTTATATCGAGTCGTGGACTGTAACAATAGAGTCAGTTATTAGAATTTGTTCATTGCATGTAAATTGTATTTGGATTACCAACTCCTCCTCGAGCATTTGCAGGGCACTTCCCACGCTGGACAGTTGATCGTCCTTGGCTTTCAGTTCTTGCGTGGCATTTTCTAGGCAGATCTGCAAATGCAATATCTCTTGCTCAAATGACCGTACACGCGACTCGGCCAGCGCTTTGAGACGTAGTAGTTCTTCATATTTTTTGCTAAATGCGCTATATATGAGCTGCTCTTTGGTGGGCGGCTCGTGCGGCTCCTGCAGCGAATCACGCGCGCGCTGGCCGCTCTTGTTCTCCAGGCAGCATGGCTTAACGGTGATGCCGGCTGCAGCCGTACTACAGCTGCAAATACTGCTGACATCCATCAACGTTTTGCTGAGATCCACATTTGTGTTCGAGTTGGAGTTCGAGCTCGTGTTTAAGCTCTGGTTAAGTTTAGACACCTCGTACTGTGCTCGCCAATGAGCCGACTCCTTTTCGAGTAGCGCGATGCGTTCTTCGGCAGTTAGTGTTAAGGCTATATTGGTGTTAAGCTGGTGCTGCTGTTGATTGTGGAGCGGCGTGCTGTCGCTGCCAGTGGCGCTCAAAGCATCCTCACTGCCAAGCTGTAGGCATAAGTAGGAAGTTAATATTTCATTACGAAGTTCTTTGTTAAGCACTTGCCATGCTCGCGGCATCGACCAGTTTTGTTTCGAGTTCACAGTTTCTCAGCTGCAGCGCTTCCATTTCTTTGCGCAACCGCTTTTCCAATTCATTCTGGTCGCCAATTCGTTTCTCTAGCTTCTGTTCCAGTTCCGATATGCGTTCCGTGTGCAGCAACAAGTCGCGTTGCTTGTCATCTATCTGCGGGTGAGAAATTTTTTTAATGAGTGAGTATTCGTGTATGCTGTATGTATTTTTGGAATTATGCTGCCCCCATTTACCAATGACGTCAACTGTGCGTTTTCCATTATTTTCTTTTGAAGCTCCTCGAAGATAAGAGCTTCCTGAGCTGCATTTATGTTTGGCGCCTCACTGGGAGGTTCATGTTTACTACCCCCTAAAAGCCCGCGTTTGTTTGTCTCCTTTTTCTTCCGAGCCTGCTCATGCACCGTTAGTTCCTGCTGTAGTTGGGAGACACGCGACTCTAACTGCTTGTTGCGAAACCCTAGTGAGTCGACTTCTTGCTCTGTCCGCCTCAGCGCTGTGGCGTTCTGTTGCAGTTGCTCACGAAGACTTGCCTCCTTCGCCTGCTCGTCTAGCACCGCCTTCTTCAATACTTGCGCTTGTGCACGCAGCTTGGAGCATGGGCGGATGTGGATTAAATTAGATTAAAGCGCTTGTGAATGGGGCGTAAACTGTTGCTAGTTACCTTTGAGTATTCACTCGCCAGTTTTTGATACTTGGCCTCCGGCACTGTGGCATCCATGCTGGTCATTTTTTCTGCCATGTAGGCAGGTGAAACGCCGACTTGTGCACTCTGCACAAATAAAGATTTAATTGTTTAAACAAATAGAACTATTTTTGCGCTTAGAAAGTGCCAAAACTGCAATATTAGTTATGGTAAAGCGACCTATTCATCGAATTGCAGTGATTTCCTAAATATATCGATTAAAAAGAGGCGCCAATAAATTTTGTAACTTTGAATTTTTAAAGTGAGTCTATATCAAAAGTAGATCTGTAGGCGAATAAAATTGTTCAATTAATATTATAAATTACCTGGATATTTTGCCTTTATTAATTTTAAAAACACATATATATTTATATTGTTTGTTATCGATAGCCCTTGACATTCTTATAGGAAAAATCCTATCGAAACTTACCGCCATTAATTCAAACAATATATTTCGAAATCAATAAACCGTTTTCTATAATTTATTAACTAATTCATAAAATACATAACTTACATACTTCCCCATCGAATATTAGCATTAACTTAAAAATATATGATCGAATGGAACTTTTTCGAAAATTTTGTTTGACAGCTCTTTAAAAACCAGACCAAAACTTTTGGAGTAGCCAACCTTCAGTTCATTAAATACCGTCTCCCAGTTCTCGTTTAGGAAACGATTCATGCCTTCAGACAGAGTTTTATCATTGAAAAGGTTCTCAAATTGTAAGTATACACGTTTGGGTTCCATGTTAACGCGGTACTCCTTAAGTCGCATATATTTCACACCATCCTTTTCGAAGGGTTCTCCAATCAGACGATGTTCAATCTTTGTATTCACAAGAGTTATGTTGGAGTTCCCATGCCCTGTAATAGGCAGTAACAAAATGCGACCAGACATTTCGTAATCTCCTATCATTTCAATGCGGTCTGTTTTGCTATCACAGATTATTAGATGCTTATCCAAATCGGTTCTGTTAAGACAGAAGAAGAATATGATTTACAACATATTTCATAATTGGTTTGGAATTTTATCGCGATTCCGTTAATTACCTATATCGTTGAATCTTGCTAGTCGAAATCATATCATGCACCTTCACATTTTTCAAGGTTTGACGAAGATTTATGGGTGCGTTACCGGCGTCTATAACAAGTTTCTTCACGGACAGCGGCTCAAGTGGCGGAATGCCGAATTCTTTGTTGCCTGTAGATAGTTTAATTAATTAAGTATTTAGTATTGTATTGTACTTTCTGTTTGGAGTTAATACTTACCACTTTTAAGCAATTGAATCGCATGATTCACAGCATCCACAAGACACTTGTCGAAGTTTGCATCGCGCTTACATTTCAGGAAGTTTTCGGCTACAGTAAAAATACAAAATACATAAATACATATTAAAATTAATAGGTTTGGTCATGACATTGAAAACAACTCGAGGAAGTCCCGCGTCAAAATGTGTAATTGTGCCAGCATTAAATCGAAGATCAGTACTTCAGCTAGAGTTCGTTGGCCACAAAACGAGTTTCACACAAAGCCTTAAGCGAAGCCACAAAATAACAAATGAGACTTATATTCGTGGGTCTCAAGGTCAAGTCGCAGCGCAAGGCAATATATTTATCTTCGAGATGTGGCTAAATAACAAAGCCACTCATGACCTACGGCAACGTAGCCATAGCCACCACCACTGCTTGTGCATAATCATTTTGGAAAATATGTGTCATCGCAAGCGGAAGTGGTCCACTGACTGAGTGCAAACCCGTTTGCTGATATCGATATGCTAACCAGTTTCGATTACATAACATTTCCACTGGCGCCTATCGATGCAGTTGCAGTGCACTGTAAGTCGATGGCTCTCTGAGTTTGGAAGCTCAGCTTGTCCTCCCATAGTGAGCCATTAGAAAATATTACAGCAACCTTCGGGCCGTTAGCCAAAATGTTGCCACAAATAAACTTACCACCTATAAACAATATTGATCACGTTTTGGCCATAAACAGCGTTGGTGGCCCAGAGGCCACAGCCAAAAGCGACCGAAGCAAATGCTCAATATGTAAATAATAAAAACATAGCTAGCGAAATCACCAGCTGCGAGCAATTTGCACTTGCTGCTGCTGCTGTGAGAGCTGCAATAAAATTACTTACGCAAATCTTGCGCGACCGTTACACATTTAGCGGTCTCCTGCGCAACCAGAGCGATTAGCAGCAGCAATATAAGTGACGATTGTTTTGACATGATGACGCTCGACATCGGATGCTATATGCGAAATCTATTGCCAATATGGACTGTGCCCAATTGAAGATTTTAATTCCAGCACGCACAGACGCCGATACACAAACACGAACACACACGCACAAGCGCACGACAAATGTTTCGACTGTTGTTGCGTCTGCTGCGGGCTTTGTTTTCAGTGGTTCTGCTCTTCACGACGACTTATCACTACGCAATGGAGGCGGGATGCTTTGAGCGGCCGATTTATATACCGAGCTTCGGCAAAAGCTCCCTTCCCAAGCATACGAAAGATATCAGAAAAAAAAAAAACATTCATGTCGAAGCCGAGCTTTAGCCCATAAACCTGCATATATGTTAATATGTATGTATGTGCGTATGTATGTATATTGTGAGTAACAACTTTAGCTTTCCGCCTGACCGCTTTGGAAAATGCAACCAATATCCATGTCCATTCGTGATCGTGAAGTTGCTGCAGAGCCGACTTCGCTCTCGTTGCAGTTAAATACGGTGGAAACGACTGTCGAACGTTGTCAGGCGATGCATCAACCCTCTGATGCCCTTTCCAATGCCGTGGGGTGGTTCATTGAACTAACCATGTACATACATGTATACATATTCATGTATATATACGCAATGCGGTACGCACAGGTTGAGTTACGTCTTAATTGGGGTGTTATTACAGGGTAGCCGGTAGTAAGCAAATGTTAGTTATATGTTTGATTAAAGTCGCTTACGAGCATCGAAAGGCCATAAGGTTTTCATATATGAGCTCAAGGGGAAGTTTTCAAAGAACAAAGGTCTTTTGTATTGTATCATGGAAATCAAATATATAATATGCATATTTTACAATCACATTTATGTACAATCATACAGAAGACGATTTATTTTCATATCTAGTCTAAAATTCTGTAGTCGAATTGAAAGTAAAATTAGTTCATTAAACATTTTGGGTTTTTAATTTGGCAACCATTACGAATATAAATAGCATAGCTATAAATTATTTTTAAAAATAATCCCCTCATTAATTTCATTTAATTAATAGTACTTTATTGCGCAGTTTGCATATTTCTCCTAGCTATGTAGAAACCAGTTAAAAATAATGTATGGATTTAGCTGCAATCCTACAGCATTAGATTCCCGTTTTATTTCGACACTTCAAAAGCCAGTCCGTTCCCATGGCGATGGAGCTCAACCAATTAGTTCTAATCACTGACGCAAGAGACCACTAAAAAACCATAATTGAAGTTTGTTGCCTAAGTCATTTGTTTCAAGCCAAAAATGAAAAATACAGCCTGAGGACCTCCGGCCGCCCGTTCGGCATGTGTCTATGGAAACTGGCGCAATTGTTGTTCAAACATAAACAAATGCTGCGAGCCGGCAGCTAAGCCAACTAACGGGAATGCAGGTCGCTGCCGCCGCCGCTACAGCTAGTGTCTGGGCGTTAGTTGTTCGTGCAAACCGGTTGCCCCAAACGCTGAGCAGTCGTCGCTGAGCATTCTTTGAGTAGATAGAAAATTTTTGGTCATCAAGGCATCATTACCGAATACGTGTTACAGCGCGGCATCGTCATGAAGAGATGCTATTGTGGCTACAGTGGTGGAAGCAGCATCTTAAAGCCGACGAGCCACGTCAACAAACTGCAGCAGCGCCAGCCACTGCGCAGCGATCTCTTATCGGTGACGTCATCGTCCAGGCAGAGCGCATATCCCACGCAGTTTGTAAAGCGACCCAACCTGAAGAGAGGCGTGGTACCGCTGGGCTTGGGTCACTCCAAGAGCGAGCTCGCGCACAACTTCAGCAGACGCAATTCGGCAGCAACCACGTTGAGTCATTGCTCCAGCTGGTGCAGCAGTTGCGGCTGTGCGCCACAGCAAAAGCAGCGCGAGAATCGCGTCAAGGTACTGAGCTGGGACACCGGAGATCACCAAGGCAACAGCAGCACTGGTCACAACAACAACAGCAACAATACCCACTGCGAGTACACCTACAATCGACGTCTCTATGAGCAACGCGCCTGCGCCGTTAGCCGCTTGGCAACTGAAGGTCAGGGTCAGGTTCACAGTAGTATGTCTGCGACTCCCTCGCCAACACCCAACTGCAAATCGAACGGCAACACTGAGCTGCAGCGCCTGCTACAGCTGCAGCAGTTCCGGCTGCTCAATGCCAGCGAGTGCTTCAGTGACCAGCGGCAGGATGAGTTGCGTCTGCAGCAGGCCTATGACAAGCTGGGCGTGGCCCACAATGCAAAGCGTGATAAGAACAAAGCAAATGAGTGCAGGCAACAGAACATGATGGCAACAACAATAACAACTGCAACGGGTACCACGCCCTATGCGCTGCGTCAGAAGCTGCTGCAGCTGAGCCTACGCGAGGAGCAGGCCACTGGCCGAGGCTCGGGAGCAATGTGCGCGCCCTTGGAGAAAAGCTGCGCTCTCAAATATAATCGCGTAGATTAAATTAGTATTACATAGTAGGAAAATATCAGTTGGAGGGCCAATGGCCTATCAACTTATCTGATATTGTAGATATTTCGAGCTATTCACGCTCCTAATTATGCCATAAGAAAGCCGTTTAAAGTATTCCAGAGAGCAGTTCTCAAATAATAATACATATAAGCATTGACATTATATAATTAAGAGTCTAATCAATTAATTAAATGCCATATTATTTACCTCATATTCACAGCTAATTCGACTTTCAGTTAAAACTACGTGATGCCAATAATTTTTATTGCTATATGTATTTCATTTTTCATTTTAATAAAACAGTGCTATTTTGTTACAAGTGCTTCATGTTGATTTTATTTTTTTTTGTATTTTTTTTTTTGCTTTTGCCATTTTTTAGCTTTGAATGCGTTTTGGTTTTCTTAGTTGTCTTTTCAAATTTTCAAAAAATTACAAGTTTTTATTACGTTCATTCCAAGAGACTTTTTTATATATATATTTTGCTTTGTTTTTTGTTTTTAGCTGTTTGACGCAATTTTTGATATTACATTATAATTTCTTGTTTGTTTTTAAAACAGCCAATATCAACTATAATATTAAATAAGTTTTTTTGTTTGTTTTGTTTTTGCTTTTGTTTACATATAATTATGCACGTAGAATTCAATACAACATTAAACAGAGTACTAGAGTGAATTCGGTAAGGGTTTAGGCTGCAGCTGGACATTCAAGTTAAAAACTCGGGTTGTATTTTTATATTCATTATTTTTTAGTTTGTTTGTGGGGCGGGGGGATCATACGAACGAAACCTTTTTGGGGACTATTCACGTCGGGACGTACGTACATGCATAATAAGTATAATACTTGAATGTGGCGGACTTTTGCACTAGAATGTACCGACTGTTGTCGCAAATACAAATAGAACACACACACACACACGAATGTATCCACACAGTGCATGCATCAGTGTGTGTGTATATATATATATATATATAATATATATATGTGTGTGAACGCCTCAGATGTTTTACAATTTCATGTTTCATTATATATATATTTGTATACGTATATATTGTTTTTTATTTTGCTGTAATTTGTAGTTGTTGTTTGTAACCTTATCTACTGCGTCGATGACGTCAGCAGAGGGCACACAGTGCCACTCAAAAGTATGCTGCTTTTTTAAGCGCTGTTTAACCTTTTTTATTTAATTCTATGTGTTTTGTATGTGTTTCTTGCCTTATTAAGCATTTCATGGTTTATATGTATATTTTGTTAAACAAATATGTTTGTAATTTTTTGTATTTTGGATTTAATTATATTTATTGTTTGTTTTATTTTTGTTTGTTTGTTCTTTATTTTTTGTGGATTTCATTTTTTTTTTTTTTTTTTAATTTTCGATCATATGCAGCTTTGTGTTACACATACTCTATATTTAATCGTCAACGCATATAATTTAAAAATATACACAACTTTTTGTTTATTTCAATATTTTTGGTTTAAACAATTCAAACTTATGTACCTTCGAGCTAAATTTGCATTTGCTTTAAAACTAAGTAAACATGTAGTAGAGTTTTAATGATGAATAATAGTTAAAAAAAATATATATATATAATCGCGCTAAGAATACGTACATACTTATACAGGGCATATGCATTCAACTCACACACATATCAAAAGCATTGATTAAAATTCACAAATAATTATAAAAATAACATTTTACCATTCGCTATATTAAAAAACATTAATATATACTCAAAGGGGATAATCCCTTCCCTGGCTGTTGTGCTATGCAAAGAACCGAAAGAAAAAACAAATGCTGTGCGATATTTGAAAATGCAAAAAATACAATTGGAGTGTGCGTACACTTTTCGTACCTACTTTAGCTTCAGCTTTCTGCATGTATGTGTGTGTGCGTGTATGTGTGTATGTCTGTATGTGTTTATGTTTGTGTTTGCATTGCGCAAAGGAAAAACTATAACAAAATAAAATTAATACATTAAGAGATATTCTTGCTTATGCAGTGTTTAACACTGCAAGTAGTTTGAACTAAAGTGTCTCAATTTGTGTATGTGTATGTGTATGTAAGTGTGTGTGTATATATGAATTGGCTTTTTAGTATTTCGCTTTTGCGCATTTCAAATGATAATAGGCTAAGTTTCATATCCTTAAAAACGTTGCTCACGATTCGATTACACATATTCGATTAAAAACAAACATTTCTGCGCATTGAATTGATTCTGTGTGTGCTTTGTTGTAAATTATTGTTGCTGTTTTTTGTTTGCCGCTTATTTTTTCTTATTCTTATTGTTTGCGCCGCGTGGCGGTGTTAACGGACGCCCTGAGCTGCCAAAGTTTGGATAAACAAATCGTCGCTTGTCGGCGGGTTTCAAAATCTGAAAGGAGCACATTAATGTGTCGTCCACGGACATCATGGCACCTTTGAAGTAAACAGAACAAAAATATATATAAGTACGACATCATATTATTCTTAAATATACAAACTGTAACCAGAATCGCAGGCGTATAATCTGTTTTTCTGTTTGTATTGCCAATCACAGTTTCTGTTTTCTGTTTATATTAATTGTCTAAACAAACGTAAACCGCGACATCATAGTTTACTGATATCTGAGCCTGCGATTCTCACTAAAGACTCTGTTTATGTTCGATGACAACGATCAAATGCTACAAGTCTGAGTCATATGTGGAAAATTTCTGCGAGCGCCCCCTAATGTAATGAGATTACGTCAAATATATGACAATACCTCATCAACTTTAAATAACTGTACTGCTGTTAGTGCCGTAAATGACATTTTCAAAGATACAAGAACGATTATGGAATTTTTTTTATGAAGCTTTCTAATATTGCATTATAAGACTAACATATGCCAACTCTAAGATTTGATATCATATGCAAACATATATAATATATATAGAGCATATGGTCATACACCTTAAGTCTTAAGAAAATATGATTCCTTATCAAAGCATTAGAAATCTGACGCATGCCAACATTTTTACACGTAAATTTCCATATTTGAGCGTGCGCTGTTTACATTTATTTTCTATTTTCTAAAATAGCACAATACGCTGAGTTTTCCGCTAAACTGTCTCTATCATAACACTGAACTCTGAGCCTATTTATTTACTTGCAACTTCGTAATTGCTGTGCTTCGCCCGCAAGGTTATCTTCAAAATCTGTGCTAATCTAAAAATTATCTACACAAATTATACAGTATATGACAACAGTATTTGCTCGCATTAACAATTCTCTTACAATGAGATAACACCCACGTCGTTTGTTGTTTAAAGTCCGGGATCGATGAGTATGAGTACACATGCATTATATACATATATGCATGAATAGTATAAACATGTATATTTGTATATATATATACAGATTTCGTGATCACTCACCCGCATTGTCGAATTCACCGCAATAGTTGGGCGCCGAAAAGAGCGTAACCAGCTGGCGCTTGGCAAAGAACTCATAGCCATCCTCGACAACCTGATGTGCACGACATATAAGATCGAATTCGTGCTTCTGTAGAAATTTGCCGACAACCTTAGTAAATAGAAATAAAGATTAGTATAATCTAATTAGGACACGTAGCTCTAAACGTACCTCTGCTCCAAATGTGAAGCTTACGCCACGATCATTTTCGCCCCAGCCCATGGTATCCTTGTCGGGATCAGACCACAAGAGATCGCATAACAGACCCTGATCGGGCACATCCGTGGGTCGCATAATGCGGCGTATTTGCTCCATTGAGGACAAATCGGGACTCAGGCCACCGTGACAGCAAAAGATTTTCTCATCAACAATCGCAGCCACGGGCAGACAGTTGAAGCAATCTGTGAATGTTTTCCACAGCTTTATGGTATAACGTCGCTTGCATTCATCGTAGAACCTGTCAACGGGAGAGATGCATCAGTAAAAAGTAACATCAGGCACAGACATGAAATTTAAACAAATAATGCGTGATAAACGCTCGAGCGTTTCTCACGAAAGGCCATTTCCAATTAGATTATATCACAAAGTACGTATCTATATAAGAATAGTTGTCGCTTGTATGCAATTGGACAATTAAGTATCGAGAATAATGTGGTTTATGTACGTATTCTAGATTTTCGATTTCCAATTAAAATTGATTTCAAGTTATGTGAAATTTAAGTGACAAACTTTATATGAGACACGTATTCTTTGTGTGCGCAATGTGTAATCCAATAAGAACGTCTAGCAACAACGTTCTCACTTGGATTCCAATAACATTAATCGATAGCAGTTTTAGCTTCTTCATTTGAATAACAACATTCAATATGCAGTATTCACAAGAATTGCAATATCCAATATCACATATTAATGCAAATACTTGGCTGACTATACATTTTATAGATGATCTAGATATTAGATTTTCTATATATTTATTCATTTATCTTTACTTACCCGTAGATACGATTGATGCTTGCGCATTCGTGGTTCCCGCGCAGCAAAAAGAAATTCTCTGAATATTTTATTTTGTATGCCAATAGAAGGCAAATCGTCTCTAGGGATTGCTTGCCACGGTCCACATAGTCGCCAAGGAATAGATAGTTCGATTCTGGTGGGAAACCGCCGTACTCGAACAGACGCAACAGATCGTAATACTGTCCGTGTATGTCACCGCATATCTTGAGCGGAGCCTCCAGTTCCAATAGTATCGGCTGCGATAGGAATATTTCACGCGACTTTAAGCATAAGTTCCGTATTTCACTCTCCGATAATTGCACATTTTTGCCTGGACGGGCACCACGTACTGGAGAAAAGCAAATTTGCATATAGGTGATCTGAGGTGCAAAGTGTATAAGTTTATTTACCTTCCAACAGACGCGAGATAATGCTGTCAATGTTCATGATGATTTCGGACATGTTTTACACTGTAACTGCTCCTGATATTGTTGTAGTTGTTGATGATGTTGCTGCTGCTTCGCTAACACCTGCGCCTATTTCTCTGTGTCTCCGTCTGTTTTCTTATCTGTTTACCTGCGTCCGCTCTGATTGCTACTGCTGGCTCCGTTGTTTTAGCTTAAGCTTATGTATTTTCGGTATACGTTATGTATGTTATTTCATCGATGTGTGCGCGGACAACAGGGGGCAGAGGGCCACTACTGTATATATGTGTATATGTGTGTGTGTATAATATATCTGTGTGTAGGAGTGTTTGTGTAGTTGTCGTCAGGTAATACACTTTAAACAGAGCTGCGTTGAGCTGCGGGTGCGGATTTTCAATATTTAACTGTTACGCCATGTACGTTCAGCGTTTGTCACTGGTTTGCGTATTGTTTGACTGCGTTTTAGTGCATTTATTGCAAGCTATTGTAGATTTTTGCGACGTCAAGAAATTTTTTCGCGCAACCACACTTCGCCGCATCGCAATCTAAATTCGCCGTGAACGCGTATCGATGACATGGACAAATATCGATATATCGTGGGCTGATGGTCACCTGTATAGCGCTGCCACACCGCAAATTGCGGGTGGATGACAGCATTGTTTAAAAAAAATGTATTTTTTTTTTTTTTTTTGTATTTAATTTATTCGACGTTATCTTCACTGCTCCTTCTGCTGCTCCCCGTATTAAACATAACACGCTTGCGCGGCAACGGCACAGGTTTTGCTTGTTGTAACTGCACCATATTGGGCTTGGAAACTACATGAGCCGCCGGTTTGGCCAACAGTTGCTCCAATTGGGCTTTGAAATTTGGCTGTTGCGCTTTGGAACTTGTTGACGCATTATCAACCTTCTCATTGTCCATCTCCTGTGAAGCCGATGATACATCACTACCTTCATTAAGATCGTCATCGTCGTCCGTGGTTGTTAACAAGGGATTTCTACGCTTCGGCACCTCCATTGGCTGCAAAGGTGTCTTATTTTTCAACAAAATCTGAGCACGTTCCGGCATCTTGACCGAGCAAAGTTTCTCCACAAATTTACGTATGCGATTGCGTGTTGTATAGAAATTTGGATAGTCCTGTAAGAATAAAAATTAAAATACATATAGCATTATTATTATCATGAAGACGATCAAGTAGATTATGTATATACATATGTAAATATATATTTAATTCAATATTCCTTACCAATTTTAGTCTGGCCCTTTGCTGCGCCAGTTCAGCGCTCACGCGTTTGGCGGATGTGTTGGAGATTGCCTTGGACTTCATATTGAAGCCATGCGGATTCAGTCTTTGGTTGATCAACTTGCGCGCATCTTTGCGTGTCAATGGCTTTGGTGGGAGTCTGAAAACATCCGATGTTTCTTACATCACTTCCTGTTAAGTAAATTTGCTACTTACCTATTCTTTAGGACGGATTTGATTTTTGGCGACATGAATACCTGTCGCTCCGGCTCAGAGGTCAAGACTTCACTGCCTTCATCGCTGATGCTCTCCTCACCGCTAAGGCTTTCGCTAATATCCGTGGCTTCCGGCTGCTCTGGCTGCTCTGGCTGGTTTATGGCGGCTTTCGGCTTTGGTTCATTCCTAGCGGGCGCTGACGCCGGTGCTTGCTTGGTATAAGTCGGATGACTGCTTGAGCTATTGCCACTTGCTTGCTCTTGTTTTTGTGCTTGTTGTTCCGGCTGTGGTGGCGGCTTTTCTATGGAATAGGTGTCATCATCGCGTTTGGTTTTCAGGAACTCAGTCTCCACCAGACGCTTAATGCGCTCCATGCTTTCCTCCTTTTTGGGAAGAGGCTTTGGAATCTTGGATGCGGATGCTGCTTGTTGCACCTCAGCTACGGGTTGCTTATGCAGGCTGAGCCGCTTAAGATCCCGTTCCAGTGCTTCTAGTTTTTCCTTGTAGCCCATTTCCAGTTGGTGCACTACCTCCTCCAGCTTATTGGCGCTGACTTTTCCGATTTCGGCCACTTTTTCTGTGAGTATTCGCTCCAAGTCCTCAAGGCAAGGTGTGGCCACGCGCTCCTCGGCAGTTGCTGGCGCAGTAACCTTCGACTCTGCGTTTCGTTTGGTCTGCTCCAGAGCCAACGTTAGGTCTTCTAGTTTTTGGTTGATGCCCCGGATAAAATCTTCGTTGCTCTGCTTAAGCTGTGCCTGCCAAGCTTCAAAGCTGCTTAGGCGTTCCGCTAGACCGTGAAGCTGCTCCTTACGTTCGCTCGCCTCACTCTCGGCAGCCTCCATGCTGACCTCATCCTTTTCCTTGTATTCTCCCAAATTACTTTGTATGCCCACATGGCGCATGTTCATCGTTGATGTTGTCTGATCCTGAAGTTGCTGCCCACTGCGTTCCTTTATGTTGCGCTCGGCGGCATTGAGACGCTCCTTCAACTGCTTGATTTCCAGCTCCATTTTGATGGTGTTGATGAGCTGCATATCGTTCTCCTTTTCTCGGACAGTCCCACCAGCAGCCAAATTGGAGGAGGGCGTACCCACGCGATGCTTGCGTCCGATGTGCACGTTCAGCGCCTCGTTGCTGATGAAATTTTTGGTGCACAGATGACAGGGAAAGACCACCTCGCGTATGGTCTCGATTTGCGTGATCTTCTTGTGAAGCTGCACCACCTCGTTGTTCGATTCGCTCAGAGATTTGCGCAGCTTCGCAATCTCCTGCTGCGATATTTCGTGCGCCTCGCGCAGCTCGTCGACGGTCTCGTCCAGGTATGTGCGGCAGCAGAGCAGGTACTGGATCGCATATTGCGACATGACAAAGTACTTGGCTATGCCGCCATCGAGTATGTGCGTCTCCAGCATGGTGCCCAGCGGCGCCTCCGATAAATGCTTCAGTGCATCGTCCACGACCTCCAAGTTTTGCTCACGCAGAATTCGTTCCGTCTCATAGGAACCTGGCGAGCATTAAAATTAACATTTCTCATTCCTGAGGCACCACAACTATCCATATTTACCCATCTGACGCCAGTCCAGTGGTCCATCTCGATACTGGCGCAGCTTGAAGCCCGCCTCTCGCATCACCTGTGGAAAATTGTTTTTGTGGCCCATTTCTGACTCATCGACAGCTGAAAATGAAAGTTCTTATATATATTTTTCGACTTGATTCAATTGCTTGCTGCAATCGCTTTCGCTTTTCGTTATTTATTTGTTTTTGTCAGTGGTTGCTTGGCAACCGCTGACAGTGTGCTCCACTATTGTTGTTGACGCTGTCAGCTGGTTAGGAACTTGGCTTGAATATTGAGGGTTGGATTACCCAATAACCCAGCCCTATTAATATATATATATATAATATGATCGTAGCTCAATTTGAGAGAACTTGACTACCCTTGGCTGACTAATATATTGTAAAAGTATTCTTAAATTGTTTTCCCTTTAAGAATTAATATTTACTATTTGTTGTATTTATTTGTGAAATAAATACCTGTGATAAAGTACTTTTAAAGTAAATTAGTGTTCCTTAGAAATTTAAAAAGAAAATATTTTTTATTTTATTTATAAAATAATAGATATCAGTTATATCATTTATGCTTTTCAAGAATGTTTTTTTTTTTTTTTTTTTTTTTAATAGGGTCAGGAATCAATCATTTTACGTTATAATCAATGATAATTTATAAAATATTTTAGATAATGAATAATTATAATTCGGGGTTGTTATTCACTGTATGCAAAAACAGGATTAGCTTTCCTATGAAGGGTTTAGCTCTGCAACACTATTTTTTATTCATAGCTCATCTATTCAGATTTTTCCCTAAATCAATTGTGCTCTATTAATAACACTTGTTTCTATTCGAACTCACCAACACAGTAATCACACACGTGTTAAACGTTTTACAGAATGCAATTCTACCCGAAATAAAATTTATCATATATGTATATTTAAAACAATGAATTTATAATCTACAACGCCTACTGCCGGACGTATTTGCAGTTAAATATGGGTATTTAAAAAATAATTTATAAATACCATTCACTAATAAAATAATAACAGCAAATACTTAGGGTAATGTCTAAATAACTTGAATACAATATTCTTAAATATATAAAAAATCCGAAAAATTTAAAGCAAGTTAAATTTGGCGCCCTTTGGCCGCGCACAATTTAGTTGACAGGAGCTGCGTCTGGGCAGCAGCATTCGGATAGATCTGCTCAGTTACGATTGGACCCTGGCCGAGTGAGGTTTACATCAAATAAAGCACGCATAGCAAAATGCAAGTGCTTTAATTAACTTCTACAAGAAAAGTATATATAAAGTGCAATACTCTCCGAATTGCTCTGCAATTAAAGGAGAGTTAAAATGAGTCGTTGGCTTTGGCTGGGCTTTTTCCTGCTGCTGCCATTGGCAAATACAACACGTAAGTCGCTCCAAATTCGGTTTGGAAAAATCCATGGAAATTCCGATACTATGTGTGAATCGGATGCTGTATCTCCGAGCTGGCCAGCTGTCAAAGAGGCTGCGCCCAGCGAAAGAACGAGAGAGCATGCGAGAGCAAAAGCTCGGCGTCTGCGCATTCATTTGTTTTGGGAAATTTCTAACAATGTTTGGGATTTTTTGTTTTGTTTGGGCATTTTCTATTGAGCAGCACCTGTTAGCTTCGAGGCGAACCCGGACACGAAACGTCTCTATGATGATTTATTGAGCAATTACAATCGCCTTATTCGACCTGTGGTAAATAATACGGAGACACTTACCGTCTGGCTGGGTCTCAAGCTGTCGCAGCTAATCGAGGTCAATCTGAAGAATCAGGTGATGACCACCAATTTGTGGGTCAAGCAGGTGCGTGAACACAACCTAAACTAAATTTGAAGAGATTCATTATAATGTTTGGCTCTCAGCGCTGGTTCGATTACAAGCTGCGTTGGGATCCGGAGGAATACGGCGGCGTAGAGCAATTGTATGTGCCCTCCGAGCACATATGGGTGCCCGACATTGTGCTCTACAATAACTGGGATGGCAACTACGAGGTATTACAACATTGAAGCAGCTCGTAATCCAGTCCTAACTCAATCTGACTTCTTCGTTAGGTCACCCTCATGACGAAGGCTACGCTGAAATACACTGGGGAGGTGTTTTGGGAGCCGCCAGCTATTTACAAATCATCCTGTGAAATGAACGTTGAGTATTTTCCTTACGATGAGCAAATTTGCTTCATGAAATTCGGCTCATGGACCTACAACGGCGCCCAAGTGGATCTAAAACATTTGGATCAGGTAAGCCAAACCGCATTTCGATTAAGCCACAACCGAAGGATGCAAATTTGCTTTGCGCTCCAATGCACAAAATGCAATTTATGCGGACACAAGCGGAGGGGGCTGTGTTGGAGGGGGGCTGGGGTAGCGGAAATACATGCTACGTAACAAATTGCCGAGTCTGGCTTGGGCACCTGGCTGGCTAAGAGTCATATGTATGTGTGTGTGTCTGTATATGCATTTCATGTACAGGTGCCTGGCAGCAATCTCGTGCAGGTTGGCATCGATTTA